TTGGCAGAAATCCCCATCTTCAAATATGCGTCATGGGACAATACATTGGCTGCACTTCCGTTATCCACCAATATCCTTTTGACTTCAAAGTTGACTATTATGGCGGATATGACCAAGGCATCATCATAAGGATATGTTATGCCTTCTGAGTCCTTGGATCCGAAGGTAATGTCCTCTGTGTTGTAGAGATTGGTCCCCTGAACTGAACCATACTGTCGGGCATATTGCTTCTGCCCATTGTGTAAATCTCCTCTCGACGCTATCCCTCCAACAATAATGTTGATCGTGCCTACTGTTGGTTTGTTACCTTCCCAGAGTCCGAGGTCTTTCCCCGATTGTTATCATTTCTCGGGCGTTTATCACTCCCGACGTATGATTTCAGGAACCCTCTTCTGATCAATGTTTCGATCTCCCGTTGTAACATCACACATTCTTCTGTCGTATGCCCATGATCTTTGTAGTAATCACAATATTTTTTTTTATCCCTGACATCTGGTGGAGACCATAACCTTGGGGGCCATTTGAGCTCTCTCATGTTCCTAATCTCCATTAAAATGTTGGTCTTCGAGGTGTTTAAACGAGTAAAGGGTCCGGGTGATCCATCATGTCTCGACTTTCCCCGACCATGATCTTGTCTCAGGTTTGGTTCGTGTGACCTCTTTTGTTGAGGCTTCTCACAGCTCGGGGTCGTCTTCTTCGCCTCCTCCATATTGATGTACTTTTCTCCTCGGGTGAGGAGATCAGTCACAGACTTCGGGGGTGTTTTAGACAGAGACATCTTGAAGGCCTCACACCTCACTGCGTAGGTCAAAGCAGAAACAGCCGCCGTGATGTGGAGGTCGGGTATTTGCAACCTCTCTTTGTTAAACCTTGTCATGAAATTTCGTAGGGTCTCATTAGGGCCTTGTCGGAGCTGCATGAGGGTCACGGCCGTCTTCCTGATGCGTTTACTACTTGCGAAGAAGGCGGAGAACTTATCCGCAAGGTCAGAGAATGTCGCTATGGAATTAGGCTCCAGTATGGCGAACCAGTCTCTAGCAGCGTTCGTCAATGTCTGAGAAAAGGCTTTGCACATGACCGGATCTGGTGCCACTTACAGGTTCATGACATCCTTGTACACATTGAGGTGGTTGATGAGATCAGTGGTCCCATCATATTCCTTCACGTGGGGGAATTTGAACTTGCCCGGGAGGGGATATGACAGAACTTCTGGCGTGAACGGAGTGCTAGGGATGAATCCTGTCGGCCCCTTGGCGTTCTTCTGTAACCCAGCCGTGATCCCGTCCTGTATAATCCTGGCCAATTCTCCCGAGTCCATGGTAACCACTCTCGAGGCCGAGGCCATCGGTGGTATGCCCGAGGCCCATGATCCACCATTATCATGGGCCCCGTGATTATCCTGAGCTCGAGCATCTGCCGTGAAATCCTCCCTTGGCGCAGGTGCATGTTCCGGTATCGGGTCCTGGGGTAAATTCCTTCCAATAAGTAGCTGGGTCAACGTCGTAACTTGCTGGCGGAGTTCCTCGAATGCTTTAGTAGTAACCATAGCTGGTTGCGGAGTCGGTATTACTGATGACTCTTCTTGATGTACTGGGTATTTCCTGGTGGAAGGCTAGTTCGGGGCGGATGAGTTTGCCGGAAGATGACCTGAACGTGTATTCACCATGACTTTTGGTAGCGTT